AATACATTGATAATTGTTACAAACTGAAGCATTAGATAATTTGTATTTAATGAATAATCTACTTCCATCTGCTGTATTTAGTATTTGAGTAGTTTTATCAAAGTATTTTGAAGGTACAAGTCCTTCATTGATACAATTCAAGTCAGCTCTAGAATCAATTAGAGCTGAAGTTTCAAAGCTATAATCTTTTGCAACAATAATCTTAATTTGGACAAACCATTTTTGTATTACTATTTTGTCTATTAAGTTGACAGAAGGAATAATTACTATTTGTGGCTTTGCTTCTGAAGATTCAGGAATATCGGATGATGGATTTGGTTCATATGTCATCATTTGATCGAATTCTATTTCATCTGTTTCTGAAACTTGTTGAGATAGTTGTTGTAGTTCTAATGATTTAATCCTATTTTTTAATTGAACTATTTCAGTTTTTATTTCTTTAATTTCTTTTTTGAGGTCTGAAATTGTGGGTTCTTTTTGTTGAGAAGTGTGTTGTTCACTTACTCTTTTCATTATTGAAGCAAAATTATATTCATCCGGAGATTTATTTATTGGAAGTGATTTTGCTTTATTTTTTGTGATAGAAATAAATTGAGTAATGACAGCTCTTTTTTCATCTGGATCAATAATTTTATCAATAATATCTAAGATGAAATTATCTTCTTGAGTGAGTGTTTGTACGTTATGTGTTGGTATGGGGCAACTACAATCATTATCTTTTATTGAACTGGATGATTCAGTATCTGAACCATTAGTGGAATCAGAAGAGTCTGTCCATATAAGATCATTATCTTGGATTTGATCTATAAGAGAATTGGTAGAAGTAGAGGACGAAGAATCATAATTGATTATATTATATAATTTTGATTTTATTGTTTCATCTAAATGTAATGATTCTATTTTCTTTTTTAATTTACATTGATGTTTATAATGTCCTACTTTACCACACTTATAACATTTTGGTAGTTTTCTTTTTTTTTTTTTATTGGGGGAAAACTTATCAATTAGTTTTCTTTTAGATTTTTTATAATATTTTCTCTTATCTTTATTTTTAGATTTATATTTTTCCTTTTTATATTTTTTCTTTTTCTTATATAAATTGTCAGGGATATTTTTCTTATCAAGATAATATCCGAATTGTTCGTAAAAGTCACCAAGTTCTTTTCGCTTAGTGATTTTTTGTTTATCTAATTGTCTTTTGAGTTTCATATCTTTGCATAAGGCTAATCCTCAGCACATATTTCTGCGGAGAGTTCTCCTAATGTATATGATGAATATACTATAATTCCATTATGTTTCTTTCGCAGTCTTTCTTTGACTTTTTCTGCGAATAAATATGGTAGACCAGCTATAAATTTCTCTTTCCAGTGGTCTAGCTGACAGAGCCAAACAGTAGAACTGTCTAACAGTGGAACTGTGTAAACAGTTAGACTGATAAAACAGTAATACTGTTCTTTAACAGTTAAACTATAAGTAAGAGATAACAGTTACATCTTTACTAAGGAAACCAAGTTAAATTTACATCCAAGAAAGTTGGTCCGAGAGTTAAGACAAGAGAATAGCCTTTGGAAAGAATTGGAAACCAATAACGGCTTTACCATATTACAAGAGACCTACACCTGTTGATATATAAATGGAAGAAGATGCTATACAACAGGCAGTATCATATTCAGGCAGATCCATAGTAAACTGGCAAATAGATGGATTATAAGAATTAAAAATATTAGATGTCATGCGACATATGACAATGTACTCATCGGCAAATAAAATGGCAGGCAACCCTGATCAAGAGGTTGCAAAAGCAATAGTTAATGGATTTACTGGCTGGTTACGAGGCTGGTGGGATTTTTATGTAGATGATGAAACCAAACAAAGAATCCTTAATAATACTAGACAATGGACCGCCAGAAATGAACAAAACCAAGAAATAATTTATACAGAGAGTGATGTTGTCAACACTCTCATCTATACCATTACACTTACATTTTGTAGGCAGCACAGCATTATTAGCAGCTAGATCAGAAGATCTGCTATCCAATTTACGCTGTTCTACCCTATCTCATTATAAATGGTATAAAGATATATTTTTCTCAAGATTACTAATAAGAGAAGACTGTCAGCTAGACCACTGGAAAGAGAAATTTATAGCTGGTCTACCATATTTATTCGCAAAAAAAGTCAAAGAAAGACTGCGAAAGAAACATAATGGAATTATAGTATATTCATCATATACATTAGGAGAACTCTCCGCAGAAATATGTACTGAGGGATTAGCCTTATGCACAGATATGAAACTCAAAAGACAATTAGATAAACAAAAAATCACTAAGCGAAAAGAACTTGGTGACTTTTGCAAACAATTCGGATATTATCTTGATAAGAAAAATATGCCTGACAATTTATATAAGAAAAAGAAAAAATATAAAAAGGAAAAATATAAATCTAAAAATAAAGATAAGAGAAAATATTATAAAAAATCTAAAAAAAAACTAATTGATAAGTTTTCCCCCAATACAAAGGGAAAAAGAAAACTACCAGTATGTTATAAGTGTGGTAAAGTAAGACATTATAAACATCAATGTAAATTTAAAAAGAAAATAGAATCATTACATTTAGATGAAACAATAAAATCAAAATTATATAATATAATCAGTTATGATTCTTCGTCCTCTACTTCTACCAATCCTCATATAGATCAAATCTAAGATAATGATCTTATGTGGACAGACTCTTCTGATTCCACTAATGGTTCAGATACTGAATCATCCAGTTCAATAAAAGATAATGATTGTAGTTGCCCCATACCAACACATAACGTACAAACACTCACTCAAGAAGATATTTATTGAACCATCTCAATCCTACCAATGGGGTAAAAACCAGAGAATATTATGAGGCTATACTCATGGAAACGGGGTCCATCTCTGTAGTCCATTATTTCCAGCAGAATACCAGAATAATTGCTTATTCCAAGGTTCAAATAAAAAAGCTACTTTCCTATGACGAGTGGGGTTGCAATCCCGCACAGAGAAAAAAACTGCACAACCCAAATTTCTCGTATAAATACTATAAATATGCCGAATACATAGAAGCCTGGCATAAATTCTTTTATTATCAAAATCCAAATAACACACACAGCTGGTACCTTCAGTTCCTGCTACCTGTTTTTGAAAGATTCCCACATGGTTTCAAAATTGGTTTTTGGTGTGGGGTTCAACATCTTTGGTTCTACCTTCTGCTTTCAAAAACATGCAGGAACAATTTGTGCAATACAATAATAGTGACAATACAATTGACACTCACCTATACTTCATGGCATTGTATCAGATCCCATGGATCATGAAATGGGACTACACTATCTCAGTCAATAATACAGCCGATTATACCTATATTCCTCGATTGGGGAAAACCATCTCTGTAAATTGGTGGGACATTTTCAAAATGGATCTCACCACCACCACACCAAAACGAATACCCCAACAGACACTTAAATACCAGCCAAGCCCAACTACAGCCAATACCTTTTTTGACTTTCCAACCTACTTACGAAATATGTTGCAAACCAATCCCAATGCATCCAAGGAAGAACTAGAAAAACAAATGAAAGAAATCTTTGCTGAGGCTGGAAGAAAACCAGTATCTTCCGAAGAAACTGTACAGTCTTCCCCACTTCACACCAATAGATACCTTCAATTGAGTGAAGCTGATCTAGAAGAAGAGACAGATCCAGAAGAAGACGATTCGGATGAATTCAGTCAACGACCGTAATAGGAAAAAGTTTTTACCGACATTACCACCGACAGCAATACCAATAATCCAAAAGAGGAACAGTCTCCACCGACAAAGCTGCATAAGAGACAAAACCCCGCCGACAGAAAACGACAAAAAGACTGTTTCAAGATTCGAAGCACTGTACCCACTATCATATACGACAAGAAGACACTATTCCATATGGCCACGTCCCCGACAAGAAGCACTGCACCAAGATGCGCTTACTGTAGCCACTTGGGAAACAAACAAATAGAGCACTGTACATAATGCTTTTTCTGTTTTGTCTTTTCTCTGTTTTCTTTTGTCTCTTCCCTTTTTGCTGGACCACTTTTTACTTCACGACAAAGGAATCCCTTCTTTAGTTTGATTCCCTTCCTTTTGACGTGTCACTTTGCTTCGTCTCGAAGCAACCTCCCTCGCTTATAAAAAGGAAAGACTTCTCCTCATTTCAACAAGGTCGAACTCAGCACCTCAACCATCTTCTTTCTACTCCCTGCTGCCTTCTCTCTCTGAGTTCTCTCTCTGAGATCTTTCTCTGAATTCTCTCTCTCCTATTTCTCTCTGAGTTGATGACTACTCTCTCTCTGAGTCTCAGTTCATCACCATTCTTCTGAGTTCGGAATATTGCATCAAACATCAGAGCTATCCTAACTTTTATAGCTCATCATATTCTAAGCATATGATCAGGTTTTATCCTTCACCTCTCTTTCTATATCCATTATGTGTGACTGCAATCTAAAATCTCTCCCTTCATACTGTCCACAACACTGGAAACTATTTTCCAGTTATTGTATTTGTACACAGTAAGTTTCAGATTTCTATCTTGTCTTTTTCTTTTCTTCAAGAGTTTGTAATAGTTGTATTATTTCAGTTGCTCTGTTACTTCGTTATAAAAATTATACAGTTGCTATAAAAAGTTGTTATTTCTGTTTATATCATGATAAAATGCAGTTTAAAATTTTATTCAGTATAAAGATTGGCGAGTTATCTTATGCTCAATGGTTCGTAATTGATATCTCTATTATCCCTTTACTTTGCATACTCCTTTTTATCCTTAATTATTACAAAATCCTACAAGAACTTGTTAAATACAATAGCCTCTTATTTACATATTTACTCTAGCCTAGATCAGTCTGGCTCCAAACACATGTTATATATTTCTTATAACCTCATATTCTGATTAAATTAAGAATCAAACAATAGGACTGTAGATCTTGGGCGTTTTGGTATCAGAGCCAAGCAGTAGAACTGTCTAACAGTGGAACTGTGTAAACAGTTAGACTGATAAAACAATAATACTATTCTTTAACAGTTAAACTATAAGTAAGAGATAAAAGTTACATCTTTATTAAGAAACCAAGTTAAATTTACATCCAAGAAAGTTGGTCTGAGAGTTAAGACAAGAGACAAGGGAAAGTTTATTGCAAAGTACCGCCAAGGTAAGGAAGAGCCGCTTAGGGAAAACGCTGGACCCCTGAATGTCCAGATTGTCATTATCCGCAACCTAAGGATGGCAAATTTAATTAGGAATCTTACAAGTAAGAATGCAACTTCATCTCAAACTCTTAGAGTAAAAAACAAAGAACAAATTATTATAAATGACATTGAAGAAAATATTCAAAATTGGAATATTCCTATCGTACCAATACATGACAATTACCATAAGGGATCATTTAAATTCAAGATGGGATATGCCATCAAAACAGTAGAAGAGAGTTTATATGTCACTCAAAATCAAGAAGACTTTCAACTACTATCAAGAAAAGTTATTGAAAAACGTAAAGAAAATAATTACAAATATTTACACATTGGCCTTATACAAATAGCAGTAAAACCTTTTACCCGACTAGGGTTGAACACTTCTGTGCTTGTATGCCTAAGAGATACAAGACACAATATCTTCACAGACTCGCTACTTGGCATGGTTGAATCCAGCCTTTGTAGTGGTCCCATATATTTTAATTGTTTTCCAAATTTTTCAGTCTCTTTAACTGATCCAAATATTCTAGATATACTAACAATAAATTTAAAAACTCATGGTTTTAACATGATCCATGGTTCTCAAAATCTAGCAATAGTATACAGAATATATTACAAAGTCATGAATACTTTATGTCCAAATATCATGAAAATTGATATGGAAAAATCTAATATGATTGTACCAAAAACAATTAAGTGGTCAGATATAATCCTCCCACAGTCATGGGCATTACAACATGCAAATCAGCCCCAAGAAGTACTTATATAGGGAAAAGATAGGATTAGCCCACTAGCTCATTTGAACATATGAGCCCAACGGCCTAGATGGAATATGGGCCGATCTGACGAGGCTCTAAAAAATCAAATTAGAGCCTACCTTAAAAATTTCGCTAGAAGAGGTTGCTTCAAATTAATTATCTCAACATCAACATGCATGAACATGAAAAAAATATATATTACATATAATATATAATATAATATAAGATATTTACATATTATATACTGTAATATGAGACAAGATATTTATATAATTCATAATATAATAATATTTATATATATAATATATATAATAT